CTGGATCTCGCCAATCCTGGACTCCGATCACAAACCCATCTGCATCCGAGCCACTCGACAGTGATCCATGCTTCTTGCGGTTGATGGTAGCTCCGTCTGCTTTGGTTGGCGAGCGGCTAACATCGGCCTGATGCTGGGATGGTGCATGGTCATCCCAAGGATCTAGCATGATCCAGTTAATATTTCCACTGTTCGGCGGGCGACGGCTATCTTCAGGTGAGAACCACGGTCGTCTTCCACTACTACCAAGGCCCAGTAGGGACAGCAAGGCATGAAAAAGACCACCTTTCGGACTGGCGGGAGCCACACTGTTGTCGGCCATCGCGTGCTTAGTGGGCGTACTTGAGGCAGCCACTACTGTGGTTGTTGCTGTGTGAAGATGTTGTTTCCCCGAAGTGCGATGGCCCGACTGGCCAATTTGAGTAGCTGTAGCGTCATCCGCCTCCGTACCTTCGACCATCTGAGGCGGAACCAACGAAGAGAGCAGATGGGCGGTAGTGTGGGAGGTGAACAGCGCAGGGATTGTCACGTTAGACGTATCGCCGCGTGCATACATAGTCACTAGACTTCCACCCCGAGTGTCATCACCCACAATCAGAGCAATGCCTCCTCGCCGTTGCACCCATTTGACTTTCTCAAGGAAGCCACAGCCACCTCGACTCAACAGAACCACCTTGCCGTCAATCTCCGCACTTTCCTGCAGAGATTGAATATCTGCGTGAGTTGTGGGTAGGCTCAGAGAGTGATCCCCGGGTTTCTCCATAGCAGTTGCATCTGTTCCTGCAGACTCCGGAAGGGGATGGTGCAGATGATCATCGGTTCCGTCATCCGTCGCAAGGCCGGTCTTTGCTCTTTCCTTTGGAAGACGAGAGGAGTCGGCATCTAAGTGAGCATCTGCCTGCCTTTTCGTGCCCTCGCTCGTGGTTCCGGTTCGTGGTTTAGCCGCAACTCCGTTGGCCGTCCCTGGCTTGTGAGGGTCGCCTTCGCCCCATCCTGGAATATCTGAACAGCCCAGTTCCCCCTCCGCTCCCGCCGTCGTGCGTTCTCCAAATCCGCTTCCAATCCAGAGTTGACCGCTCAGCCCCTTGTCTGGGAGCAATGGGCCAAACGCTGCAGGTCTGGCCAGGAAGAAGGTCGAGTTGTCATCGGTCAAACTGATGATTGCGGAGGGCGGAAAGAGCGAGGATGGAAGGTTAAAGGAGAAAAGGGCATGGAGACCCGTCGCTTGACCAGCAAGCGAGCTCGGCGTAGAGACGCGGGAGGAAGTGGTTAGTGCCGAGAAGAAAGTGAGTAAGATCGGGAAGAAGAGCAAGCAAAACACAATCACGATCAAGCGTGGTGGTCGCATGGTGACGCAATGCTCCTAGTCACCAAGCGATACAACACAATGATCGTCTTGGATATGGTGTGGTAGCTGACAGAGGTGAGATGAATGACCTTCCACGGTCAACGTCCGGTATCCAGGCAGCGTGATAATAACTTCGGGGTAAAGTTGTGATTATCGAGGTGGTACTAATTAATGGTGGCACTCTGCGGTTGCTGGCAGAGAGTGGATCTTATGACCAGTCAGACGGTCGCTGCAGGCCGACAGCAACCCGCACTCATCGAAGTCGAAGAGGCGGAAAACTGGTAGACGATGAACAAAAGAAATCAGACAGATCACATGAAAAGAAGGGTCGAACCTCCCCGAGAAGTGCGACGAAAAGCGAGGAGAGAGGGGGGGTAAATCGGAGAAGGAGGAAGGAGGGAGGGGGAGAGGGGAGAGAGGGAGAGAGGGTGGGAGGGCGGAAAGGAAGGATGTCAACACGCGCGCGCCAATTTGGTCGTCCAGAAGAACTATCAGGGATTGAGTGGTCGCAGAAACGATGCAGAGTACTACACAGTATAAGGAGTTATGAGTGATTTGGTAAATCGAGAGAAAAGAGAAGGAAGGATGAAGGAATGAATGAATGAATGGATGACTGGCCTCTTTTTTCCTGCGTTTACTCTTGCTGAGACACGCAAGCACAGCCTCAGCCCCCAGTCACGGGGCGGTTGTTGCCTGAGGCGAAGGTGGACACTGGACGTGGACGGGGATTGTCATCCTGCGAACTCAGGCCAAGTCAGGCAACCAAGGTTCAAAGGTTCCGCCCCGTTCAGTGTCCACATTGTCCTGTCCATCAATGAATGCGATTATCTCCTCCCTTTGACCTTCAATTCAGCATGTTACATGACCAAAAACCAGAACACACTTTCTCATATGTATGAGTGAGCATACGTATAATTTTAAGTCAGTATACAGTCCACTCATTCTCTAACCACCCTTCTCACGATACACTTAGATGGACTCCTCGTTTCCACCCCCACCCGCCGATCATCCACCATCTCCACCCACGCTTTAGTCGGAGGGTCCACCTTTCGAGTCGCAAACATTGATCTCAAACTCCCTAGCATTCCAATTCCTCGACAACTACGAGTACAAATCAATAATCAAGCAATCGGCATTCTTCCGTCTTGCTACCGTTCTGTCTCATTTGCGAGTCCCTGGATTTCTTTTCCCCCCAAAGTCGTTCCAATGGGATTCAACTTATGTTGCAGATCACTGTTCACCCCCTTCCCTTCCCTTCGACCGGCTCAACAACCCTAGCGCAAAAAGCGCAAATCATTTGAGAGACAAGGTATCTGGGTAGCGAGAACAACTGGGGTTCATTTCATTCAACTTTGGCTCTTCCGATGCAGCATACCATCTCCGACTGACGGGCAGTATTTCTAATAAACTTCTCGTGCCATCATCGAAGTGGGACCGCTTGGCTGTTCCCATGGCGGGGGCGGGACTGTGGCTGGTACCCGTTGATGAGAACACGGTCTGGAATTGCCGGGGTTCGCCAGATGACGTGAACGACATTCACATTCCTGACCTTTTTCTCTATTCTCACCAACCATAATTGGTATCCGCACGTCATATCAGTTGGACAGGCGTGCTGTTGTTGGCTCAACCATGTACCAAACTAACATTAAGGTTTGCTGTCTTTGAGAAGCTGTTCTGGAGCTGCTCTTGAACCGAACCGGCATTTGAGCTAGGAATCTCTATTTAGACTACATACAGCCCAAACACGACGTTTCCACCTAATCACTACAACTTCGATCGACCCGGTGGTTCTCTTGCATACTTGACATTGAAACTTGATAATACTCCATAAATCCATCATGTCCAAGCTCATGCACAAGGTTAAAGACGCCTTCACAGGCCATCATGGTCATAAATCAAGTATAAGCATATTCCCCATGCTAGGCTTCCCCATGTTGAGCCTCCAATCCGATTGACTTGGAATCAGACACCGGCAATTCTGAAACCGTCCCCGAAGCCGAGAACGCCAGCTCTGGGGCCTACAGCCAGTCTGACACTGGACACTATGCCCCTCAACCCGGCGACAGCGGTGCACAACCTAGTGCTGACCCCTACACCTCTGGAGCATATGACTCCGGGGAGAACACGGCTGCTTATGAAGCACGCACTAGCGGCTATGACTCAAAGCCTTCGGGTGGCCACGAATTCCAATCTAGCTACGGTCAGGAAGCTGAGAATCGCAATCCTGCTCAGGATGAGTATGGTTCAGGCATGACTGGCCTCGGTCCTGACTCTGGCTCCAGGCAGATGGAGTCTAGAAATACTAGCGGTGTGCAGCATGTCAGCCCGGGTGGCTATAATCGTGGATCCGATCAAGTTGAGGCTTCAGATATCGCTGGACCATACTCGTCCGGTACGGAAGGCCGCACTCAACAAAGATTTGGCGGCGGAGGTGCAGAAGGAAGTAGCAGCTATAATACTCATGGAACCGGCGAGCTGAGCGCTGGTGCTAATGATTACAGCTCCGGAGGTAAGCTCGACTCAGGCCGAGTGGGTGCTAATATGATGGGATCCAATATGATGGCGTCGGACAACCTACGCACCGCCGGTGGGGCACAACGTAATTATTGGTAGGAACGTGATCATCATGAATGTATTTGAATAACTGTCAATATTTTCTTGCGGTCTGATTCTTCATGTGATGTACTAACTGCACACTGGAATCGTCAGGCTTTGGTGGAATAGTGCCATTGCTATTTTATGTCTCAGTACTGAGTATATGCTTCTAGTCTAATAACTATTGATTGTTTTCTGATGGTCCTGGAAGGGAGAGTTCTTTCTTTGTATTCCCTGAACAAGACCACTAAACCTCCCTGGTGTTGGACAGCGATTTCCTCGTTTTCGTTTGCTTTTACCAGCTGGCACGTTGCGCAGGAAGGCACAACTAAGACATGGTCTCTCTTCACCGTCTATCTCATTTTGGCCATCAGTGAACAATTCACCTATGAGCCACATCCTCCTCATGACAACAGAGGGTCCAGCAGCAGATTGTTTGCCATGTCGCTTGTGTTGAAGTCCAAAAAGCAACGGCGCAGTAGGTGTTTCCCCCCTTTTTTTTTCTCTCTCGCGCCAGCCTTTAACGAAAGAGAAAGAAGAAGATGGAGAGAGCGTCTTGCTATAAAGAAAAAACCTGAAAGCAGGCAGCTGACTGGCTCATCAGGACAGCGAGGCCGTAGAGGCAAAGGCTCGGTGACGATCAACAATTTACTCCCCGGAAGAGCTCCTGTAGGATTGCACCCTCTTCACTCTCCCGACAAGCGTACTCAGACCACCGAGTGGCTCGATAACGTATCACCCATTGCGGTACAGTTACCACTCCAGTCTCATTTTACGTACTATCATTGACTTAGGCCTCTTCACTACCTAGTCTCTACAGCCACTCACGCCAATCCATCTTCCTCACCTACCCACAACTCCTGCTTCTCGCCAAAGAGCTCATTCGCTTTCATTGCCACTGCCACCGTCTTCTGGAACGATATCAGAACAGTCCCCTGTCATACTTCGGGGGTCTCCAGCGCGTGTACTCGCAGCTTCAACCCCGAAGCAGTGTTCTGTTTCGTTAGAGATAACAAGTACTACTCATCAAGCAGCAAGCTATCAGTCTTCCCCCATCATGGCGTCACGAAAGTGTCCTTACCGTCAACAAGTCTTTACTGCTTGCAGTCAGCCAGATCTTGGACAGACTAATGATCATGAGCTCCATAATTTGGATGACCTTGCCTCCTCTCAGCCTATTCCTCTACTTGAGTTATGCCTGAAGCAAAGCTCAAGAAACAAAGGTGCACGGGCTCAGAAGCAATATATGTTGGAGAGTGCGGCTGGTGTTAGTACCAGGGCAGCAAGCAGCGGCGATGAAGAATTCGCTTCTTCGCGCTTTTCCATCTTGCGTGGATCCATCAACAGTGCCTTTGAGATTTACGAAGATCAGTCAAGTACCGAGGCTATCGAAGCTCGAAAATATGGCGATATGCCGTGTGATACAGTTCTCGATACAGAGGAAACCGCATCACTACTGCATGCATTCGACTCGCCGAGGTCCCCGCCACGCCCATCGTCTAGACGCCATGCTAATATTACTGGTCTCAATGATAGCTCTCAGAAGCCCTCTACGCCTACACGTGGTAAGAGGTATAACTACAGCGAATCATATCTCGACTCTATTCATGAAGGAGGAGACGCCGAAATCCGGCCCAGTGCAACTACCCAGTACAACCCTTCGGCGCGTTATTCTCGAGTTTACCAGTCCAGTGACAGCGATATTGATTCCTTTAATGATCAAATAACACCTAGACGCCTGAAAAGACAAACTTCCAGCGAGGCAAAATCTGACCAAGGCTGGTACGGAGCTGACAATGGGCCTATCCTGCAAAATCCTCTGAACAACCTAAAAAGCTCCAGCTATTCTCACTCGGGCTCACACCCACAATCCCGCAGCTGCATTTCGGAGAGCCCATTCCAACGACGCGGCGATAATGCTAGCGGTGATCGGGCAGTCTGGCCAGTGGACTTGTCCAGCCAGAGATCCTCTTTCGAGGGACCCAAGACAGGACCTTTTAGTCACGATTCTGCGTCTGAGGAATCATGTCCCCCTTCGTCGTCTCTGCATCTGTACGGCGCAAACTTCGATCAGACGTATAGTCGTTCCCCCTATGAATCTTTACGAATCCAACAAGAGCGTTTCAAGCGCGCCGAGTCTCGCAGAATCTCGTCGGGCTTGCAGTTTCCGATGTCTGGATCTCAGCAAGGGTATAACTCAGACTACACATCCAAGGGGAACACTCTGGCTTCAGAATTCTCCAGCGTTGCCCCTGCCGCACGGTCTGGAACACTTCAGTATTCGGAATCAACTAATCCTTCGTATCGTGCTTCCAGTCAGCGCCAGGCGACAGACGCGCAGAAGAACATTCCGTCGAGCAATAGCAGTAGTAGCTTGTCCGCCGAGGAGAAGCGACGGATCTTCAAAGAAGAAGTCAACGCCCTGCTAAAAAGTACTGCCGAGAGGCCCAGAAACACCAAGACACAAGGTACTGCAGAAGAGGCCACAGTAGTTCCTCATAAAGTCAAGGCACCTAGCACTGACGAGTCTCGAGCAAGTGCCCTTGCAAGTGCTGTTGAGCCAATCCACTCGGAAGCTTCGGTGAACACTGGAAAGCAGAAACTACGACCAGAGGAGGCTGCGACGACCACTTGGCATCTTCTTGAGAGGGCCACTCTAGACCTTGATAAAGGAGCAACGGCTAACAACTGGCCTCCAATGCCTCGATACATGCCTCGAAATATCTATCAAGCAAGGCGTTTTGGTGCTTGGGGCAACTCGCCCAATACGAGTTCCTCTTCTGCGGACGTCGAGCAGTCTTCGGGGCCGGTGTCTTCATCTAAAGCACGAGATGTCGTCGATAGAGCTACCACACTGGATCTCAGGGCACAGGCTTCAGCTTATATCAAGAGCCAGACCTTTTCATCCGGGTCTGGCACACAAAGCAGCATCAAGCACGCACTCGGGCACGTTGCAGATTCATCCGTGAAAAGCGAGAGCAAGCCTCTGAAGCCTCCACCTGGGCTGTCCAAACCTGCAAGTCAGTTGACGAAACGGCCTGCCTGGTACGTGGACAGCCTGATTCAGAACCAGGCCAGGCTGGAGGAGTCCAACGCCTGGTTTCGGCGGGATAGTCGCGGGGAAGAAACCATTCGCGCCCAGGTTGCCTTGTTCGCTCAGGACCATAGTGAGCAACTCAAGAAACGAGGGTATTCGACAGAGGACTGCAAGTCTGCGAGGGAAATGAGTGAACTTATGGGCAATGCGCTTGTTAACTTGACCTCGTATGTCCTGGGAGACCGAGAGCAGCAAATCGGCAATTTTGCCAACTTTACGCCAGCACCATCCGACTGCTCCTCGCCAAGTTCTGATAAGCATCGAACCTTTTTCGAACTGGATTGGTGTACCAACGGCGGGGCATCTCTTGGTCGAGAGTCTTTGCCATCTGCCAATCTCGGCCACTTTGCTCGACGCAGAACTTCTTCAGCGACCAATCCTTATACTGTCCTTGAGGAAGACTCTGACATTGACTCTGTGGGCCGTGCGTGGTGAAATGGGATGGAGACTCGTAGTCATAGGTGGCTCTGTCAAAACTGGCACCAGCTTCTCCCCGCCCAATGAGGAGGCCGCTTGTAGAATGTCTTCTCATCTGAACTTACCACAGCATGTTCACATTTTTCAAGCAAAAGGAGTTCGCAGCTCAATTGTTTATGGAGAATTTCTCATCAGGAACTGATTGTCTACATGGTATGCCCGGTGGATTCACTGTTACATAAATAACATAAATTCCATGCTTGTCGCAGGTAACCCCAGAAACTCTCATCACATTATCCATACACATACCTTGCCGAGTAACCTTGTTTTCACTTTCTATCCTCTGCTTTACCAATTGCTACCAGGATACAGCCTTGTAAATTGTACGTGCTAGAAACAAGCATCCCCGCCACTACCTGAATCTCCCAGTGTGAGCTCTGCAGCGCGAACAAAAATCCGACCCGAGTTCAAACTTACAGTACTCACCATGTAATTCATACAACTACAACTCGATAGCGCCAGGGAGAAAGATTTCGAGTCGGAACGCTGATGCCGATGCCGATGCTGTACATCCGCCCTCCAGTCTCATTTCGACTAGCTAGCTAGCTAGGTAGGTAGCTACCTGGGGTACTTGGGTAATGGTGATCGATGATCTACTATTTCCATCCCATATGACTGATTGATTGACTGACGTTCCACACAAAAGAACTGAATATGAAGTGGAAAAAGAAAACAAAGGCAATAGAAAAAATGGACAGCCAAGCGTGGGGAGCAACCATACATGCATGCATAAGGAGAACGAAAAACCCGAGGTGTATGTGAAGAACAAGCGAGAAGCAAAATTGTGAAATAACCACAGCGCCAGTTTGCTAATGTTATTAGAAAAGAATTGCTGCTGCTTGCGAGTGGTTCTACGCCGGGGAGAGTTGGAAGACGAATGGTGAGAGGGTGGGGGAAGGGATATTAAAGGGTTAGGCGGTTGTAAGGTTTGTGAGGACGTAGAGGGTGGGTGGTAGCGACGGCAGGGGAGCGGGGGAAGTATTACTGGAAGGAAAAGACGTGGTAGGATGAAACGGAAATCGATTCTGGAACTGGGGAATTTCGATGAGACCTTGGCGCCGGTGGTGTGTCTGTAGGAGGGTTGCGCTAATAGAGGACAGTCGGTTTGGAGGTAGCGAGGTCATGTTTCGTTCAAGGTGCGTGTAGTTTAGGTGTCTAGGATGTGTGGTCTCCTGTAGCTCCACTATGGTGAAGAGGAGCGACTGGATACTCTGTGGGCTTCTAACATGTCACCAAGTTGATATGGTGATCGTTCAGTGCAGCACAGGCCAGAACGGTCCGATGCGGGTGGAACGCGGTGCTGGCGATTGGGGAGGAGCGGTTGTGATGGAGGAAGCTCGAGTAGGGCTCGAAGGTGGAGAGATAGGTTCCATCGACGTTGAAGGTTTTCACCTCGTGACGATTTGTACCACTGTGTTTGGTTTAGAGACATTAGCGAGTTCTCTTTCGGTCAAAAGACACCAAGGAGGTTATCAAAGGTACATACACCATGAAGACTGGAGCATGCTCGTGGACACTCAGTGTACGCAGTGTGTCGTTTGTGGCGGAGAACGTAGAGATGGGCATGTCCATGCGTAGATCCCAAAGCTTGATCTCGCCGTTGCGACTCCCGGACACAAGCTCCCTCAGGCCGCCGCGCTGCATGTGAACATTGGTGATCCATTGCTTATGCTCGCGCCAGACCTTGACCATGGATGTTGTGGGCTTAAGACGCTGATCAAACACCCGGACTGCGCCGTCACCGAATCCTGCCACGAAGATATTTCCTGCTACTTGATCTGATGTCAAGGAGGTGATGCAAGAGCCCGAACGAGCAGGAATGTCCTACGAGTTGATCAGCCTCAGTCAACCTCTTAAGCCAGGAACGACTTACATTCGTGCAGACTTCGGTAGCCGCATTCCACACCCGGATGACCTTCACGTCACCTGCAACTAATGCCTTACCCTGACCTTGCTGCCAGTCCAAAACAAGACCAGCATTGCGATTGCTGGGAATGAGTTCAGGTAAAGCTCTGAATGCAGTCACAATTTCCACATCATGCGCCGACTCGTAGTTTCTGAACACTTTCAGGACACCATCAGATGACCCGGTCATCAACAGAGCTTGGTCATCCTCGTTGATATATCGGACTTCATTGATTTTGGAGCCAGCCGGGTTGCCATTCGAGAAACGGTTGAGGCGCTTGTGTCTCTGCCAATCCCAGATTCTACCACGGGTTCAGCGTATACTCAGTGCAGGCTTTCAAACAGGCATAGAACTCACGCAATAGTATCCTTATCATCCGCAACTGCAATGTGATCCTCGAATTGATGGAAACACATCTTCAGAGGTTGACTGCTGTTAGAAAGAAGAGACAATGAATTATCCCATCGGCTGCTGCCTGCTTTGCCCTTCAGAGGCTGGGTCTCAGAGATGATCTTCTCATTACGGCTTCGTCTCCAGAGGCGTTCGTTGTAATCGGCACTACCGGGCTCGTCGGGTTCATTGGGTTTCATCTGGGGTTCCCGGAAATACTGAAGACGGGTGAGAAATTGTTCAAATTCGTAGTGAAACTTATCGCTCATGAGGTGAAGGAGTTCTGATTTTACCTCTGTGGACCAGTCCAGGAATCTACTCATCAAGGGAATGGCTGGGACCGCAAAAGATTCCCGGGGCTCGAATCCTCGCGACGTAGGGGTGGGAGCTTGGTTGTAGGCCGTTGCAGGAGCAACTTGGTCATTGACTTCCGGGGGGCGCGTCCATTCGGGCGGGGCTCGTCCTCTTGGGGTCATAGGCATCCGGCTCTTGGGCGCGGTGAGAGATTCGGGCGATTGGAGTGATTGTGATTCGGACGCATTAGAACCTCCGAAGGCCAGGTTCTTAAGCGAGGCCGCCACACTGGCAGTTCGTTTGATACTTAGTGAAAGGTAGCCTTCCTGTTTGGGAGGCGCGACGGCGGGTGGTGTCGGCGGAGGCACGGTTTTCTTTGATTCTGGCTTTTCGACCTGCAATTTCTGAGATACCCGATAAGAAAGGTCCAGGATTTCGTCTCGGATCTTGTTAGTCAACGAAGCCATCGGTGAATCCAAGAGGCAAATGTGAATGTAGTCAACGATCATGCCTGCGTCCTGCGCGATGTCAGGGTGGGGGTCAACAGAGAGAATTAGCAATTGCTTCCAAATAGTTCCAAAGGTGGTGTTTCGTGAGAGGCTATGCGACTTTCGACTCGAGACTGCGGGAACATCCGATACTTCCTTCTGGCTAGGGACCCGAGATCCTGCATGTTTCAGCTTCGAGATTAAGTTCTGCTTCTCATCCTGGAACTCCTCGTATGCGGCAATCAAAAACTTGTTCTGATAGCGTTTGACGAAAGCTGAGAAGAAGACTAATAGTTCCTTTCTTACGAGTACACTGCCGTCAGATGACATGGGCAATACTGCCATGGCCAGGGTTTCCTCAATCTGGGCTACCTGATCGGTTAAGTCCGGTATACCCAAGAAGGTGGTGACCGCATGCAACATGGCAGCCCGTACTTCAGGCACAGGATCGAAATTGAGTTCACAGAGCCTGGCAGGAGCGGCACATCGAATACCCATCCATTTCGCTTCTGGAAAGTCAGACCACAGCATGCTGATGCAGAGACACGACCACTGCCGCAGCAGTGGATTCTCCACATCCATGAGGTGCTTGAGACAAGAGTCAAAAAGCTCGGCAGAGAGGCACACGTTTTGACCTTGGGGGTAGTTCTTGCAGAAGATTGAAACAATGAACGCGCACATAGCCCGATGTTCACTAGCGTTGCCCACAGGGATTGGGGAAGATGGGTTGAGGATGGAGATGAAGTAATGGATCCCATTGTCCTTCAGTAGGTCATTCTGAACAGTATGGTCGACGGCCATAATTCTTGCCCAAATGAAGACCATGACTGGTTTAAGTTCTTGGGCTGCAGACTGCAAAAGTTTGACGACATAAGGAAAGATACCAATGCTCAGAGCCAGGTGAACCGCCCAAGGACCGAGGTCTAGGAATTTACTCAACAGAATCAGAGCTCGCAATCTGTGTGCCTGACTCAAAAGGACCTGCAAGACAATAGGGAGCTGATCTGGTGGGTTCTTCTCCGTGGGGCCCGACGACAGGTAAACCTCGAATGCGGTAAGCTGCTCTGCGAAGAACGTCGAATGCTGATATTCATATTGCCTGCGACCCTCTTCATGGTCAATCAGGGCTGGAAGCTGCGACAAAACCATTTCGACGGCCAGGTCCCAGCTCTTCCACAAAGGATGATGATGAGTCTCCGGTAATTCAGGCGATGAAATCGGATGGCATTTGTAGGTGCGCATTACCCGCTCAGCGAGCAGGAAGTTCCTGAACAGGGCAGCCACCATCAAGTCTTGACGGAAGAGCTTCTTGAAGAGGGCTCGCGGCAGGGTGTTCCAAGCTATCGTATCAGTGATCGCGGTAAAAATCCAGTTCAACTCTCCCAAGGGGCTGCGACGGTCCTGTAGGCGACCAGGCACCCTAAATTCGTCGACAGAAATATTGGTTTGGAGCGGGTTTTGAAGTATGAAGAAGCGCAGCGCGATCTCGATTGGCGTAGTAAGACAACAGGTGAAGAGATCCGCAGGAAGATCTGGATTCGTCGGCAGCGACTCAGCCTTCTGACACGCTGCGAGAATGATGCAATCTCCGTAATTCTGTACGATGGCATTCGGATCCCTCTTTCTCGCCTCGACATTTTCTTTCTCGTGCTTCTCAACGAAAGTGTGGAAGTTGGAAACAATGTTACCAGCATGTGAAACATCGAAGACGAACAAACTCGGACCTGCGAGCCATGACTGTAAATCGTACAGTGAGACCGGGATGTATTGCGTGTAGTTCTTATTGAAAACCCAGATCTCGCCTGACTGGGTAGGAAGAGGAACACCGTGACCGTTGTAGTGAAAGAGAACCCTCTCGTCTTTGGCGTTACGACGCAATG